AAATCAATCCAGTCGATTGCGATCTACTAGTTGTCGACCCTTGATGTAATGTATAATATAGGACTCAGATGTTGTCGGTTTTACTTTTTTATATCATATTATTGCTTAGCGAATTAAAGATCCATTTCACCCGATAAAAAATTGAACGTGTTATTTATACCATCAAATCAACTTTTTWAAATTTTATCAAATCAAATCATGTTGTAATCTGTAAGTAAACGGTTGGGTTTTCAATGCAATCAATTGTTGATATTACATTTTTTTTCAGGTAATGATTTAAAATAAAAAATTGTATTATCTATAAATAGTAATTTAGTGATGATTTTACTTGTACTAATGTGGATTTGATTCCGTAACCAAAGTCCACTCCTTGTTTCATTTGTATTTTCGTTACTCTGACACTGAAAGTAATAAAATCAATAATTAATTAATACAATGCACACAGACTACTTATATAGCATAAGTTTGTATACCTAATTATATAAAGTGTACCTATATGGTTTCTGAGTTAACTAAAAATGTATAACGAACGAATATAATTGAGTGTAAAAAAATAAGAATTGTCTTTTACAATCTATAAACGATAAAACAACCGAACAGAAACAAGGTTTGCCGGCCTCATGTGGCTACTATGTATATTATATATATAATTTTCATAACCTCCATTTTACGACATTCTTCCATAACTATTTCAATAGGTGATTTTGGGTATAAACAAAATATCAATATTAACTTTTAAATATTTACTTTTAAATTGGCGAGTTCATATTTGCATGTCTCAAAATATCTCATTCCCTGTTCTATTTATTCATCATTAATAATGATGATTTGAGATGAATATGATAATGAATAATGATTCATTWTCAATAAGGTATTGGATTCCACAAAATAAAAATACAATTTTATATTTCACACATTCGTGTTGAATACCTACAACCAACACTCGAATCTGTAATTATTTATTTATTTTGACTTATTCACGTGATTGGTTAATCACTATATATATCACGTAAAATTATAACTTATATAAACAAAAATTGAACTATATCGTTATTACTTATTCCTTAAATAATATGTTTTTATTTATTTTGTACAGTGTTTAGTTTCTAAAAACACAATTATGAAAGCAATAATTACCTATAAACGTACACTGCTTATACAGGATGATTGATTTATCAAACAACACTCATTATTTCAAAAAGTATTGATTTTTTTCAAAATATTTTTTTACATGAGTCCAAGTTGTGAAAAACCCATCGTTTTTATTAAAAAATTATATTTTTAAATATTTTTTATCCCTATCATTTTTTATATTTTTTACTTTTTTGAATGACGATATAGAGTTTTAATTTCCAAAGCAGAATATTTGTCCAAGTATTTTGATATATAAAAATCGA